TTTTATATCAAACATAAAGTTACTAATAATATTAAAAAACTTTGTTAGAAAATTCAAATAAGTATACGAGAACATCAAATTAATTTGAAAAAGTATAAAATGAAGATCTAAATTTGTATAAAATTTATAATTTCAAATTATACAAAACTTTTAAATAAAGCCCCAATTAAATAAAAAATTAACTTGCGGTTAAATGTTTTACGGTTGCAATGTTTAAGTTCACTAAGGAGTTCTCTACTTAAAGTTGTTGTTATTGTCGGTTTTTATATAAATTTTTTAATACAAATTATTATTTTACCACAAAGAAAAAAAGAACAATTTTCTTTTATTTGTACCGATGCTGCCACTGAAAAGACTTGTTCTTCTCTATCGAGAGTGGATATTTTCATTAATTATAAGAATATTTTTACTAAAAAATTTTATTTTAAGGATAATTTGGTAATTAAGATAGAAAATATTTTGATAATTAAAATTTTATGATTAAGAATTTTTTCGATAATTTTGCAACTCACACTCACTGAAAAAAAATACTCCATTTAATTTTATTTTTTTCAAAAAAGAAAAAACCTATACACCATTCCTCACATTTCAACCCAGCTTGGGTGTGGTTATGGCTACTTGTCTTTTTATTAAGGCCACCAATTTGCTATCAGTTTTACTTCTGATTCTATTAATTTACAAAATTTTAAAATAATTATTTATAATATTTAAAAATATTTATTTATAAATTAATCTTAATTTATTAGATAATAAATATTAATTATTTTATTAATTATAAATAATCATTAAATTAAATTAAAAATTTGACAATTAATAACCCTGATAAAAATAATAATGGTTATAACTGTAATCCAACTTATGCACTATATAATTTAAATTTATAATTTTAAAGAGAAATTATCTCTCAATAATTTAAATTAATTTTTTATTTATTGTGCAAGCTATGTTTCTGTGCATCAATGTTATGTAGGTTTAATTTCCTACCCTATAAATTTGTAACTCGTTTGAAAAAAATTACTCTTGACTTTTTAA